ATTTGGAGGTAGATACTTTGAGACTATACAAATACCTTGTTTCTTTTTGAAGTTTTGCCAACTAATTTGGCATTCTTCACTGTATATTGATTGTAGTCATTATTACTGTAGTAGTTGAAAAGATATTTTCTATCCCCCTTTCTTTCTACACATAGTAATTGGAATTCTTCTATAAGGAAGATTTGTTCCTTCAGCCCAATTTATTTATATCAGTATGGCCTTAAACATATTGAAGTCATTCTTTAAAACTGTGCTATTGTATTATTATATACATTGTTCAGATTGTTGTAACTTTTGCAAATGAAAGGGTGTATAACATGTCTTCTCTGTCCATTTGACACATGAGTAGGTCACCCAAATGCAGCAGTGTTACCTTCCCCTACAGATTCAGACTCCTGTTCTATGGTAGAGATAGATCCCAATGGAATTTCTCATTCCAGTCAGCAGCTCTCCCCCTCCTCTCCACCAATACGTATGATGCCAATACACCACGAATACAATACCACACCAGGACTCTGCAGTCACTTCTGTTCCTGTCTGATGATGTTTGTGTGAGAAAAGAGCATGTACAAGAGCATGCACTGTTGTGTGCTATCAAGTCAGTTTCGACTAATAGCAACCCTGAATAGAGTTTCTGAGGAGCGACTGGTGAGCTTGAACCGTCAACCTTGTAGTCCAGCTTATTAACCCACAGCGCCACGCCAGGACTCACAAAAGCATGTTGTTGTTAAGTGCTGTCGAGTCGATTCCAACCCATTGCGACCGTGTACTGGGTTTCTGAGGCTGTAAATCTTTACGGGAGCATTCTTTCTCCCACGGACAAATGCATTTAGACTGCTCCAATTTCTGCATTTCTCAGTGTTACACACTGACCTACCAGTATGCACGCAGGCCTTCATCAAGTTTTCACCAGTTCTAGGTAAACTCTTTACCATTGTCCAGTCACATCTATCCCAAGTGAAGTTGTGTGTATGTCTCCTTAGATTTAGAGTCAGTTATATGATTGGTTTAAAAAATTAATGAATTTTTGGTTAATTCTCTTCATTATAAGGGCACTTTACATCCAGGGGCAGAAGCAAGTATCTTTTGAATTGTATTAATTTTTAAATATATACATATTTTAAAACCAATGCAATTCCTCTAAGTGTGGTCTAGAATGGCCTGCACAAATTTGAAGCAACAGAACAAGTATGTAGTGTGGATAGATTTCAAGGATGAAAAGGGAAGGGACAAGTGAAACAAAGGGGAGTTAGTTCAGTAAATGGAGGAGGAAGATGTTCAAACACATTATGTGTGAAAGAACTTTTTTCTAAATATGTCAAATCAGTTTCAGAATTTATATGCCATCTGTTTGCATTAATGCTTGGAATCATAAAATCCTATTTCTGTACTAAAAGAGATTTGAGAAGTCAATTTTATCTTTACACTGTGCCCTCAGACCAATCTATGAGGAATAGGCTTTTATTATTCTCTTTTGTTCTTTAGATCATTTAGATAGAAGTTTTTGAGACACTTTTAAGGAGCACGCTCCAAACCAAAGATTTCTTTAAAATTTTTTGTCTTCAAAGTTTATTTGAATTTTTCATTCTACTCCAAAATACAGTAATGTCAATTTTAATATAAATGCTCCCCCTGCCCCTTCCCCCCAAATCCACTAAAATTGATGATTCAGGAAAACATGCCAGTGTATTCTTTGGTTTAATACAAAATTAAACCATACTTTGCATTGGGACATGTTGATTAGTCTTTTTAAGAAGTGAAAACAAAAGACAGATAGGTAAACAGTCCCTGAATAGAAATGGACTTGCTGGAGGCTGTATACTGGTTACCAACAAAGCCGTGATCTGAACGCAAGCTCATCTCAGTTTAGAACTCTTGCTAGTACATTGTGTTGTATGAAGGGGGGTTTCAGAAAGGTTCAAAGGAAAATGGGATTGAAAAATAATGGCATTTTTCTATGCATATTTGAAGCCCCCTCATAATAAATTTGGAGTCTTGGTGGGGCTATGGATAAGCACTGGACCACAAGGTCAGTTTGAACAGCAACCCTGTGTGGGGTTGCTAGGAGTTGGAACAAAATCAACCGCACTTAACAACATTAAATTTGGGCCCAGATACGTTTATTTTAAACTCTAACATGAGCATCATTTGTAAATCTATTATTTCGTGTTCCTCACTGAAAAAGGTGGTGGAAATCAAATTTGATTTGGGACATGGTTCATAGAATCCTTCTCTAAAACGTGTCTCAGTTCCCTGTTTTACACAGAAAGGATACAAGAGATCCTGCATTCGTGAAATAAATTCATTTTCTTAGCCTAGTGTTGCATCTTTTTCTTTTGTGGTACACACAGTGTAATCCTTCACAACACTGGCATATACTAATTTTGATGGAATAAAATTAGGAAGTATATGTAGAGGATCAGTTTAACTAGCACAGAGGGTATAGGTTGTCAATTGTAAGCGTGAAGTTAAAGAAAATTATGTAAAAGAAAATGCCTCATTAACATGAAATTTTGTTTCACATTCAGACTTATTTAGGTAGGCTTCCTTTCTGTCTCACCATTGCATCTTCTCTTTGGCCTTCATTAAACCCTACTGAATGGTGGAAAGAAGAGAACAAGATCAGTTAACTTGGGTGAAATTAGGTTTTAAGTGTACATATAGCCTACTTACTCTCTATACTATTGTTGTTCAGTGCCACTGAGTCACTTCTGACTCATAGTGATACTGTATAGGGTTTCCAAGAAGCAGCTGATGAGTTTGAACCACCAGCCTTGCTGTTAGCAGTCCAGTGCTCATCCTACATCACCATACCAGGACTCCTCTATAACTCATCAAATTCAGTTTGTCTTCTACACTGCTCAGTGAAATGTTTTAAACTCAGCTCCAAAGACATTTTCTCCAGGTGTAGCATGAGTGCTGCAGTGCCTCCTATATTCTCTACTGTTTTCTGTTGTAGATACATACGTTCTACATAATAGGGGTCGTTTTTTGTTTTGTTTTGTTTTTTTTACTTCCAAAAATCGGCTTAAATTGATAGGCTGTATGGGGATGAAGACTAATGAAATTGTACTATATAACTATTGAAGTGATCTAGAAATAATAGCTAGCACATAGAAATGCCAGGCAGTATTTCAGATGCTATTCACATATTCATTTAATCCTACCATTTGAGGTAGGTAATATCATTTCCATTTATATAATCAGGAAACTACGGTTAAGTCATTTGCCCCAGTCACATAATGTGCTGGAATCCTAACCCCTATACCTGTGGTTCCTGGTGTGGCGCTGTGGGTTAAATGCACCAGACTGCAAAGCCGTTTGAACTACTGCAAGGTCAGTGGTTCAAGCTCACCAGCTGCTCCTCAGAAACCCTACACAGGGTTGTTGTTGTTGTTGTTGTTAAGTGCCCCTGAGTAGATTCCAACCCATAGCGACCCTGTAAAGGGTTTCCAAGGAGCAGCTGGGGAGCTTGAACCACCAATATTGCAGTTCAAATGACTTGGCAGTCTGACACATTAGTCCACAGTGCCATGGGTTAAAACCTACTTGGTTTACTCCTCGTAAACCCTATACGGTTTACTATAGGTTCGCTATGGGTCGGAACCGACTTGAAGGCATTTAACAACAACAACAACACTAAGTAACTAAGAAAACTACATTTAAAAATTGATCAGATTTAAGAACTGTTTTCAAAGTTGATTTTTTAGTAAGTTACTAAGTATAAATGAGTACTTCTTTAGCTCCATGTGGTCAAAGGCCACATCTTAGTCTTTATTTTCTATCCTCATCCAGTAGCACAAGGCCTGGCATACAGAGGTATTTACTGTTGAATGAACATAAAAGTTGAGAGGAAGAAGATTCCAAATCCAGCCCTTTAAATCAATGAAAACAGCAGCAATTTACAATCATGCATTTAGAACTAGTAGTATAAGGTTGGTGGTTCATGCTCACCAGCTGTTCCTTGGAAACCCTATACAGGGTTACTATGGATCAGAGGCCACTGCCACTTAATAGTAAGAAGAACCCTGGGTGTGGCCTCATTAACATAAGATTAGATTGCATTATGGAAGGTCATTACATTACAACCACAGGTATGTTGTTGCTGTTAACTGCCTTCCAAGTAGGTTTTAACCCATGGCACTGTGGACTAATGTGTCAGACTGCCAAGTCATTTGAACTGCAATATTGGTGGTTCAAGCTCACCAGCTGCTCCTTGGAAACCCTTTACAGGGTCGCTATGGGTTGGAATCTACTCAGGGGCACTTAACAACAACAACAACAACAACCCTGTGTAGGGTTTCTGAGGAGCAGCTGGTGAGCTTGAACCACTGACCTTGCAGTAGTTCAAACGGCTTTGCAGTCTGGTGCATTTAACCCACAGCGCCACACCAGGAACCACAGGTATAGGGGTTAGGATTCCAGCACATGCTTGTGAGTGAGGGAGACACAAGTCAATCCAATTCAAATGAGTTTGTGATTTAAAATTTTTTTTATTTAAGAGATGTTCTCACATCACAATTTACCCTTAGTTTGGTTTTATTTTTTGGATACAGTTAGAATTCCATCATCTATAGATATGATGCAGAGCATTTTAGTGAACAAGAAGAGATGTAGTTTTTAGATCATCTTTTGGATATTTTGGTGGTTTATATGGGGTTTTCTATTTTAATAACCCTTCAGTCATATTAAACAATAACAAAAATCATAATGGTAAGGCAATTTCTGAGTCCTGATATGATGCTGTAGGATAACCAAAAGGTTGGCAATTTAATAACCCATCATCTTGCTCTTGGAAACACTATATGGAATCACTATGAATCAGAACCGACTGGAAGACACACACAAGGCAGTTTTTAAGTTATTCTCTGTATCTTTTCAAATGCCTAATATGTAATATTTAAAAATGTGCTTTGAATTATTTTTAAAAAAAGGCCAATCCAAAGTCAATGATCTAGAACTGTTGCATGATGCTTTTTACTGTCCTTTTTTCTTTGTAGGGAAGCAGCGCGAGAGTGTCGTAGAAAGAAGAAAGAATATGTGAAATGTTTAGAAAACAGAGTGGCAGTGCTTGAAAACCAAAACAAGACACTGATTGAGGAGCTGAAAGCACTTAAGGACCTTTACTGCCACAAATCAGATTAATTTGGGCTTGATTTTCACCACGTAGGCTGGAAAAAGGACTGACCTGGCCACAACCAGAGACAAAAATAAACATTTTATTTTCTAAACATTTCTTTTTTTCTATGCGCAAAACTGCCTAAAAGCAACTACAGAATTTCATTCATTTGTGCTTTTGCATTAAACTGTGAATGTTTCAACACCTGCCTCCACTTCTCCCCTCAAGAAATTTCCAGCATCAGGAATCATGAAGAGACTTCTGCTTTTCAGCCACCCCCCTCCTCAAGAAGTCATCATTTGTTTACTTGCAAATTGATGGGAAATGAGGAAAAGAAAATCTTTTTAAAAGTTATTTCAAGGTTTGTGCTGAGCTCCTTGATTGCCTTAGGGACAGAATTTATCCAGCCTCTTGAGCTGAAGTAATGCGTGGGCCGCAGGCATAAAGTAAGTAAGGTGCAATGAAGAAGCGTTGATTGCCAATTGACATGTTTTTCACACTTTCATTGTGAATTATGTAAAATTGTTAAGAAAAACACCTTCTAAAAAATCATTTCAGTGTGATGTTGAAATAAGGAATGAATTTGGAGTGTTCTCTGTGTACGTTTTCTTCCTCGCTACTGAAAACTTGTCCTTGGTCCTTAAAAATAGTCTGTACTAACTACAGCTCTTCCATAGGTCAGTTGTTGCTTCTTACTTCAATCTGTATGTGTTCACCATTTTGAATGCATTAAAACGAAGTAACCAACTGAACGTACAAGCATGATTATTTTACTTTTAAATGAAATCAAAGGACATAAAAGTACCAAGCTTTTGTTTTAGGTAGTACTAAATCCTTAAAAGATACTCATTAGCCAGCCCCTTTAGTAAATATAACAAAGTTTTAAAATGTTTTTGTCCTCACCATTAAGAAAGAATATTTATATAATCACTCATTACCTAAAAGGCATTTCTAATTGTGCTGTTCCCCTTTGCACTTAACATGGTACCACCACCAGGAAAGCCTTCAAGATAATAAATAAAGCCAAATGATATATTTGTTTATGAACTGTTAAGGGTTATAAAAAATATGATTTTAAAATGTTCTCATTTTAGCAAATTAACTCAAATGAATTTTTTGATGAAAATTTAAGGACTATAAGAAGTTCTAAAAGAACAGTGTTAGGCACGAGGAAAGTGCTTTTCTTCAGGCACGTTTAATGGCTTCTATATTGCAATATCTGAATTGTCATTCACATAAAACTTTTTTCCCCTTAAAATGGGGAGTTTATGCTTTAGCTTTCCAGTATGCTATATATATAGCCTTTGTGTGGCTACCTGTTTCAACTCTAGACTATACCAGTTCATCTTTGTGTGTATCGGACGTACATTGTTTCCATTGTTACAATTCATTATTAATTACTCATGTACTATGTCTGATAAATCTAAAAGTTTCCCTTAAAAGAAAAATATTAAGGTAGATTTAAAATTTTGGAGACTGACATAATGTTTGAATGTAATAAAAACCTCATTTGAGAAGGGAATTCCTTTTAAAATAGTCGAGACATGGAAAATTAATGTTTTATATTGAATTATGGGTTTAAAGTTAAAAGTTAAGTTTGTTAACATGATAACAAAGTATGCAGATGTATTAATTGAGTCAATTTTTAAAAATAAGATTTTAAGTTAATATCTATAAATGATATATTTTTGTTTGTAACAAACCGTTGTCTTTTTTCAAGGATGAACAAAGGTTATGAAGGATCATCAGTCTAAGAATTAAGTGATGTAATCTTTATGTTTGGACAGTTCACCAGATTCTCGAGAAGGCTTTCAAACGACTGTAAAATTTGGTGTTTATCCTGCTGAGCTAATGGGGAAAGTTATAGCTTAAAAATCATTTGTATACCAGCATAAATTTCAAGTGAAATCACAAATCTGTTCACAAATTAGAATTCTCTTACTGAGTCAAATGTCAAATTGAACATTTTGAGTATCATGAGCTTTACAAACAAACATTATATGGTGTTTAGCAAGTTTTCTTCTCTAAAGTGTGTTTTTGGAAAAGTGAGGTTATTTAATTAGAAAATTAGTTGGTGGCCGTCTTAATCCCTGATAATTCAAGGCCATCACATTTATGATTAGCTGGTTGGATGTATAAGTTTTAATCACCTGGTCCTTTGTGAAGATGATTGCACTGATTTGAAGTCAGTTCATGGTGAGGTGAGAAATATATTCTGTTGCTAAACCTGTTTTAGACCCTTAAATAGACTTGAAGATTTCAGTTTATACAAATAGAAATCATGCATCTTTTGTGCAGACATTTTTTTAAAAAAAGAGAATTGGAAAAAAAAAAAAAAAAGGTGTTTGTTTTTTAAGCATGCAACTTTGAAAAGCTTTATTAAGAAAAATCACATAATTAAAAAAAAAAAAAATCTTGTAGCCAAGAACATATGTGGCCATGTTACCAGTAATCAAATTTCTTTTTCCTTCTTATCGGCCAAAAGGGAATGAAAACGTCATCATAGGAATCTGTACATATGCTACTGATTTGCTCTAGAAAATAGCGAGTTTGGTATATCGCTCACTTTACAAATATTGGGCCATGTGGCACTTTTACTTATAGGACAGATTAACTCTAACAGAAACAAAGTGGGGAGGGGTTTATTTTTGATACGTTACTCTTGAGTTTTCAAGCTTTGATTTTAACTGAAAAATGGTTTTAGAAAGGGCTAGATCCATTGTGTTCATATATGAAAAAATTGGTATCAGATACATTTAAGTTTTTCAAACTTCAGTAGTACCACATTGGCAACCATAATATTGTCATAGGTGCTTTTTTCATTGAGATGTTCTTGGGGGAAATGTTTGTATAATGTATGTGTACATATATATATATACATATATATTTACACAGTATATAACCTGGAGCTCTGAGAGCTTGTAAGTCAGGAATGCTGAGTATTATAGTAGATTGAGGTCAGATGAAATTTTACATTTCTGTGTGTTCTGTTGCATCCTTTCTGTAGTTTCTTGGACTGCATTACTCCAGCACTCATGATCTTCTCATTTCCTTCCAAGTATTTTATTATTGTTGTTGTTGTTTTCTTTGGCTTGATACTTCTAAATGTTACTAGTCACTTGAAAACTTCCTTCCCTCCAAAGTATTTGGTTTTCATGTTTTGTCTCTGGCAGCTATAACAGTGCTAAGAGCGTTTTGAAAGATGACTTTGAAAAGGACCACTGAGTTTTCAAACCATCCTGGGGGAAGGATTTTGGTGTTTGATTTGAGCAGGGATTTTGTCAGAAGCTGTGTTTTGATGGTAGGTCAGCAGTGCTAGTATCTGAAAGCACAATATCAGACAGGCTGTTCGATCAGAAGTTATCTGGCAGGATTTTCTCTCTCTCAGGCCTATTCCCTCTTGTCAATTTGACCATTTGGGGAGATACGTGGAGTCATACAAAGGCTTAGGGAGGGATGCGTTTATTTAAACCAGGATGCTTTACTTGTTGGACACATTTCCATCTAGATTTCTTCTTTTCATGGTTAATATGTTCTTAATTCTGTCATCAGATTCCATCAACTATTAGAATAAATTGGTCTCTTTATTTTGAAGATTAAACGCCTGCTTCATTTTACAGGATTTTAAAAGGCTAATGTTGTAAAGTTAAGATTTCTAGTTAAAGTGGTGGGTTTTAGAAACAGTGGTTACACACCTTTACAGTTATTTTCAAGAGGCTTTATTTTGAAAACTGTTGATATATTGTTTCCCATTGACCTAATACAAAAGTTATATATTTATTTGGATTATATTTACATTATATTCTTTGTAAATGTTTGGTATAACTTGCACTTTTAACAAGGACCCAGTGTGGATATTAGCAACTTGAGAAATTCCCTCATCAATTAGTTGTCAGCTGACTTTTTGTGTCTTTCTCCTCTCTTCAAATCATGTAATCCTATTAATGCAACCTTCTCATTGACTAACATGTTTTAGTACCTACAGGCTACCCTTAAAAAAAAGTGTTTAAATTTAAAAAAGAGAGAATTATATCCGATTAACCCAATTAAAAGAGGGACTTGAACAACCTTTTAATCTTTTTCATCATGGATAAAGGAGAAGTAACTTAAATGCTCAAATGAGTAATATTTCCAATTTTAAACTGAGACTTTAGTTCTCACCCCAACATTAATACTGTCTAAAGAATACCAAAGGAGCCCTGGTGGTGCAGTGGGGTAAGCATTGGACTAACTAAAAGAGAGGCAGTTCAAACCCACCAGATGCTCCTTGGGAGAAAGATGAGGCAGTCTGCTTTTCTAAAGTTTTATAGCCTGAGAAACCCTATAAAGCAGCTCATAGGGTTGCCGTGAGTCAGCATCAAGACACCAAAATGTCCATGAGTTTGTCCAGAAGAGTAAAATGTTTTAAAGCAATTATCATCATGGAGACCACATGTGCTAATCATTTGACTAAACTGTCATTTTCAATAGGCTTTGTTAACATCCTCAAGTGCTGTCTAAATTAGACTGACTGATTTCAGGTGAAGGGAAAAGTGAAGCGTGCTGAAAGCCTACAGGTGAAGAATTGTGGGATCAATCTGTTCACTTGGCTGGACAAAGCACAGCTAGAACTTTTCATTGGGTGACTTGGCTATATCTTGGATCCTTTTAATGTTGATGATGTTGACTTTTTTAAACCGATTGCACAGTCACTGTATCTACTAGGAACTGGTTTCCTTGACTTTCTAGAATCAATGGTGAGGAGGAGCACTAATCCATGAGGGGTCTGAACATATCATGAAGCTGAGCCAGTATGGAAGAATTTCAAATATATCAAACAGGGTGCTGAAGTTCCATCTGTCTCATCCGCTTATGATAAGTTCTTATTGATTAGTGAATGTAGCTTAAGCCTTTGTATGTGTCCTCAGGGGCAGACAAACTTTAAGAGGGACCAGATAATGTTTGAATGGAGGGATTATATTTCAGGTGTTTTAGCTTGAAATTTATTTTTTAAAAAAAAGAAAAAAGAATTAAAAAAAAAAAAAAATAGAACAAAGCCGATAAAGCAAGTTATAATTATAAACAGGCAGAGTTGTTTAGCACAGAGAGAAAATAATTGACCTGTCTGCATTCTGGTACTGTGAGTGCAGGGCCTAGCTGGGCTATATAACATGATCCATTTTCAGTTCTCACCAGCAAGTAAAAGGAAAATGAACAATTCTCAGGAAATGTCTTTGGAAAAGGTCAAATAGTAGGAAATCCCACTTTTACCTACTCTGCACAGGCATTTCTTAACACTTGCTATAGAACTACATTTCCAGGCTGTCCAGCTGAGGACCTTTGAAGAGATGTGAGAGTAAATCTGAGCTCTTTTTAAAATTGATAGGGAAGGAGGAGAATCCCTGAATCTTATGTTAGTTGGCCAAGTGAAATGATCAATCATTGTGTTTGGAAGGTTTTATTTTCTTATGTTTTAAAAAATTGAATTGATAAATGCTTTATAGATGTATTTTTATCCAGGTTGCCACTCCAATTTGTGTATGTAATAAAATTATTTATATTAAAAGTGGGAAATAATTTGTCAACATTTTTCTGTGAGTGTAGATTAGGGGTGGCAAAGAAAAGTGTGAGTCAGCAATTGTCCATGTAAAGTGTCCCTGACTGATTTGTCCACCTGTCAGTTGTCATCCTTTCCCCCCTCCAAAAAAAAGGAATTCTTTCTGACCCAAATGTATCACTGAAAACTTTTTAGAAACAAAATAATCAGGGAAGTTTCTAGAGAGAAAGATGTTTGGTTTGGGGTTTTTTTCCTTGAGGACTGGGGTAAAGAATACCTCCCACCAAAACTATCAGCACAAAACAGGGTATTGATTTTAACTCTGATGTTTCTATTAGAGTTGAATTATAAGTAACTATAATGAGGGAAAAACATTTCTAATAAAATTCCCTACATTTTAGAAACATCCCTGTTATAATTTTTTTATCTAAACCTTTTTGTGCTTTATCTGTGTAAAGAGAAAAAAAAAAAACTGTACTGAGTTATAATGCATTTTATTAACACTATGTACATATTAGCTGCTTTGTGTTCAGAATGGTAGCAATTGCTTTGTATATTAAAGTGATCCTTGTGAATTTGTGAAATCTTGTCATAAAGTGCTTTTTCTTACTGTAATCTTTGTGGTACCAACTGTCGTAATGCTTTTTACACAGACATTTATGTGCAGTCACATAAACATGCTTTTAAAACCTCTGGAAAGTCTCTTTTTTGGGATGGATCTCTGTTTTCTGATAATAGTGGTCGGCCTTATTTTCTTTGATTTACTGTTAAATGAACTAAAGTTATGCTGTTAGAATATATCTATCACAAGTTGTGTCGCACGGTATCTTAAGTTACTTCATTTTACTGTGATACTCTTAGGTTTGAACACAAGATTTTGTATCTCCTCAATAAGATCGAATAGGAGTCCTGGTGTGGCGTCATGGGTTAATTTGCTGGACTGCAAAATCAGTTTGAACTGCA